TCCTTTCCGCGTAAACCCTTAACGCGTTTTCTCTCCCGTACCTTAATTATTGCCCGTGTCACTCAGTTTTACCCCGTGTCACGGGATTTTCCCCCGTCCAACGGTGCCTGGCACCGTGTCGCGGTGTTATTTTTTAGGGTTTTTTTTCTTTTTAGGGTTTCACGTGTTCCCTCTACTCATTTTTCCTATAAATACCCCCTTATTTCTGATAGACGGGGCATCAATTAACTCTCTTTGTCTCTTTTCTATGATCTTGCCTAAACACTAGCCTACCCTTCTTTGAAACTTCGAGCACTCCAAGGAGTCCATACTTTACTCGTGGTTCTGTCCTTAAGCCAAGGCGTGAAAGGTAGAATTGTTTGAGAGTTTGGCCCCTAAATCAACTCTATTTAATTTAATTTAATTTAATTTAATTTAATTGTTGTTTTATTATTTTTCCTTGAAGTTACTGACTCGTTTATTATTTTATAGTTGCAAGCAAACAGAATCAAAGTAAGAATTATGTTCCTTTTATTTCTATTATTTTTTAGCGATTTTATATTGTTGGATTTGTTGTTAAATTGCTTCTAATTTAATGTTTATTCTATTATTATTTATTGATCACCATATTGCATGATAAAGGGAATATGTAATTGAAAATCATGCTTAATAAGATAATTTGGACAACCGGTTTAGGTTCCTTTTTAATCTTGTTGTTTAATCAAGTGATCATAATATTTTAGAATTATGTGTTGCATTAATATTCAACCAATTTAGCTTAATAATAGTTTGGATCAAATTGAATCTTTGTTTGCATGCCTTTGAGATCACAGGAATCACTTTTTAGTATAAGAATTGAATAGAGGACAATACGGGCGAATGTGACTCCATGACTCACTTCGTACAATCATCCCCGATCCTCCTTTTGTGGTTCTGAACCATATGGAGTTAGTAATCTCATGGATTATTAATGGGCTGTACCTTCACGGGTCAATCGTTGTTGCCTATCGTTGTACCTTTATCGTGGTTGCATTTTATAATCCGTGAACGGTTTACAAGTTCCTTAAAAACTTGTTGGCGGCTCCCTACTTTCCTTGTCCCTAATCGTATATGTCAATTCCCACTTTCTATGAGTGCCAAGAATATTCACACATGCTTAACGTAGGCGTACTTCGAGCGACGCCTACAGTAACCAAATATCTCAAGAATTAATTGTGTCATGAAAACAAATTCAAAAGACTCAAATGTAGCCATAATAGTTCTAGCCTTTCTACGGTCTTCTCCATAAATGGGGTTGTTTCCAATTTTCTCATGTACCTTCATGATTGTGGAATACAAAGTAGTGACATTCAAAAGAGTTTTGTAGTGTGACCCCCAACGAGTTGCCCCGGCCTCTTTAAACCAAGTTCTTGGTTTAACCCTTGTCCACTTTCAATTTCACCCAATTCTAATGCTTGTAACACTTCTTGAGCTTGCATTTCTCTACGCTTACAAGAAACCCCAATGACATTCAACAAATAGCCAAATGCAATCATCATTATCCTTAGCAACACAAGATTCAATTGAAGTTGATGTGCAAAACAATGAACATAATAAGCAGAGAAAGTTTCATTCTTGATCAAAGTTCTAAGCCCATTTATCTCACCCCTCATATTGCTAGCACCATTATAACCTTGACCACGAACTCTAGACAAACTCAATGAATACTCCATAAGTAAAGACTCAACTGCTTGCTTAAGTGACAAAGAAGTGGTATCCTCAACATGCACAATCCCGATAAAACGTTCACAAACCCTCCCTTTTTTTATTAACATAGCGCAAGCAAAGAGCTAGTTGTTCCTTTTGAGAAATATCACTAGACTCATCCGCCAATATCGCAAAATAATCATCACCAAGCTCTTCAATAAGAAGCCTAGTAGTTTCTTTGGCACATGAATTTATTAGTTCTTTTTGAATAGAAGGAGATGTCATTTGATTGTTTCCGGGAGCATTTTTCAAGACAACATTCTGAACATCAACATTATTCTCATCAAGCCAAGATAAAAGCTCAAGAAAATTGCCTCTATTATTGGAATCCTCACTCTCATCATGACCACAAAATGCTAGACCTTTGTAATACCCCGTATTTTTATGTATTTTTATAAAGTATTTAAATATTAATAAAATGTATTGTCAAGGGCTCAAGTATTTTAATTAAATATTTTAAAGGGTTAAAGTATTTTAAGTATAAAGTTTTATAAAAGTAAAATATTTTTTGGGCCAAACGTTTATTAATTATTGGACAATGTAAATTATTCCTACATACTCTTATTGGAATAACCCATTCCAAAACCCATAACTTAAGCCCTATCCCATAACTCAAGCCCACATTTTTATAAGCCCAAATTTAACCCTACACTCTCTCCTCTATAAATACCCCATGAATCCCCAAAAATTTCCCACACAAAAAGTTTAGTCTTATTTTTCTCTCTCCTTTGTTTTATTAATTTGTGTAATTATAATTATTGATTTGTGGGTTTTGATTTTATTTTTTGAAATTAATTTAATTAGTATCAAATTGTATTTTGATGATTAAACTTTATAATTTTCAGATTTTGTAAATTTTATAACCTAGGGTTTTTAATTATTGAAAATCATGATTTTAGGGTTTCTATGAATAATTGATTTAAGGCTTTTATAGTAATGATGTTTTGAAATTTTGGTGATTATAACTACTTATTAGTTTAACTTAATTCCAGATTATTTTGAACACGTAAATTCATGTTTTAATTATTAGATTTCCGTTCGTTAATATTAATCCCGTTTTAATCCCGATCAGGTTGATATAAAAAAAAATCTCGAACAGGTTCTAAACTCCTCCAATTTTGATAAAACAAAGTAGAGTTTTCCGAGTGGAAAAAATGTTTTAAGAAAGACTCACTACCTTTGGTAGTGAGCACCACCCTCTCGTGGCCAAATTCAGCCTCTAAATACGATTTTCGAGCAGTTTTTGATTTTTAGCGAAGTTTTTTTTATGCTTTAAATTTTATCTTTGAGTTTAAAAAGGGGTAAGAGATAATTTAATGTTTTTATGGATAATTTAAGTATAAAGATGTATTTTGATGAAGTTTTAAAGGATTTTTGATTAGTTTAAAATGTTGGAATTTTATTTAAAGTAGTATAATTGTGATTTTTAATAAAAGGGTGTGATTATCCATTAAAAAGAAGTTTAATTAGGGGTTTTTGAATAATTTTCAGATTATTATAAGTTATTTAAAGAGAGTTTAAGTTGCTGAAAATTGTGTATACAAGGAGAATTAATATAGTATTATTGTCCCTTTATGTAGGAAACTTAATTCGGGAATTGTTGTAGAGTACTCGGTTATTTTAAGAGCTTATTTGAGACACGTTTGCGTACTTAGCATATTTTTGATGATGTAGAATCATGCTAGGCTTGATTTCAATCAATTACAAGTAGTATCATGCTAAGGTTTATGTATGGAATTGTGAATTAATGGTGTTGGTGATTGAATTGTGAATCATGAATTATTTGTGATGGTTTATAGATTGGAAAATTATATTTTGGGCATGTCGTGTTTGAACCACACTTTTATTTATGGCATGTTAGAATGCATGATTAATTAAACTACATGTTTAATTATGTTTGGAATATTGAAAAGGAATTTTATTGTGGTTCAAATAATTTTTATTGATGCTTTAAGCTATGAGGAAGGAGCTATATAAGTGTCTATGTACACAAGGAATAAATTGTATGTTGGTGCCTTTGTGCACTTAAGGTGTTTTTAACACCGAGGGATAGGATTTTTGGCGCATTATGCGTTTAAGGTGTCTTTGACACTGAGGTAGAATTAAAAAGGGTTCAACATTAAATAATATGTAGTCACTAATTATTCAAGAATTAATTTGGTATGTTTGGTTGATTGAATAATTATTGTTGATTGTTTTATGATGCTTTGAGAGTCATCACCAAGTCCAATAAAAGGTAAATAACGTTAAGTGAAAGAGATTACGCACCAAAACTCTTGGAACGTATATACCTTGAGTATGAATAATGGGGGGAGTTATGGGGTTTTATATTTAACCATAACTTCTAATGGAGTACAGGACGTTGTACATTCCTTTTTATTTATTATTATGCGCAGGAATTCCGCCACCTTTGAGTGGTTTTGTCGCTGGCACGGCTAGCTCCCGTGTCAGTTAACCTCAATTTATTTGGGGGAGGTTAGGAGGAGGAAACCCGTTCGATGCGTAATCAACGATAAATGAATTATTTAGTGTCTAGTTAATGTGTCTTGTTTATTGTTGTGTGTGCTTGTAAACAGGTGCAATGAGGTAAGTGTGTGTTATAGGTGAAAGCATGTTAGTGTGTATAATTACGCTTATGTACTCAGCTTTCCTGATTGTGTGTGTTTGTGTGTTTGGACATGTCTTTACTTTGGCCCTACGACGACCCATTTTCTAATGGCGATTAGTGGGGACAAGTAGAGAGGAGGTTTTCAGGTGATGAAGCATATTCGTGAATGGGCATGGGTGAAGAGCGAATCATGCTAGTTTCTATAAGTATATGATGTGTTTAACGCTTTAATTATTTATGATATTATTATCATGCATGACTAACGCAAAAGTTTTAAAGTCGGTTTGGTTTTAATAAGGGCCTACAATGGTTCCTAGTTGTAGGATGGTTTTATTTTACTTCGTTTGACTTTGGTTTTGATTTTACTTTCGTTGGTTGACTTTTCAAGTTGACTTGTTTTGAACGGTTTTGAAGTTAGTCTTCCGCTGTGTGTCTTTGATGGTTGCCTTAGCCGTTTTCACGGTGGCGGTAATATATTAGATATTCCTATTTAAATTTTTAAACAGGGCAAAACAGGTATTTTAAAAGAAAGGAATTTCTAAGGTGCTACAACCTTGTTGTAAAAGAAATCTTAAACATTTAAGTGAATAGGTAATGCGGGATTTATAAACACTAGCAAGTTCAGCATTTTGAGAGTAAATTGATTCAATAATTGATGCCTTTGGTCTGATGAAAAAATTATCTTTTTCTTGAGCTTCATTATGACAACTTCTAAAAGCCCCAACATGTCTGTCAAATCTAGCAGGTTTATTCCAACCCCTAAAACCTTCATTCACAAAAGCATCCCCTCTTGAAAACTAGTTTTATCTCTGAAGAAGTAACAACTAAAACAAAAGGAAGCATCCAATTCAACACTATACTCAAGCCAAGCATACTTGTCAAACCAAGAAACGCTAAAGCGACGCATACCTCCTAATTCACGATGAGAAAAATCATGTGTACGCGAATGACAAGCCTTTTTTAGAATGTATCCTCTCCGTACAGCATCTTGATCATTGGGAGGATAAGAGGAGATTGGATTTCTTTTTCCAGGGTCATGTGGAAGAAGCTCAACATCATAACTAGCTTCCTCACAAGTAGTTCTTGTTGTACTGTAAGGTGTTTTTTCAGCCCTTTCTTGTTCAATTTCTTCCTCAATTGGAGGATTTGGAGCAGCAGGGACTTCATGCTCCATGGTCTCCATCTCCTCATCAACAAATCCATCGACTGCTTGCTCATTATAATTTATTGGAGGCTCTTGTGATGGATGTGAGCTTGGAGAAGATGCAGTTCAAGATTTATGTGGTTTCCCTCCACCTCCCTTCCAAAAGTATTCTAAACTTTTGTTTTTCATCCTCCAATTCTGTCAAATTTATACAAAAGTTTGGCATGAATTGCATATAAAATTAAATTAAACTAACTTAATTAAACAATCAACAATCAGTAAAGCAATTAATTCAACATAATCTAAGTAATCTAACAAGGAGTAAAACAACTAATTCAACATTTCAACTTATTCAAACATTCAACAGTGAAACTAATCAACTACCAAATTGAAAAATTAAAACTAATTCAATAATTCAACAAATTAACAAACCAAAATTATTAAACAAGTAAACAGATTGACAATGACATATAAATTATAAAATTAAAAGTTGGATTGTAGGGACTAATTCAAAAATTCAAGCATTCAACTATTAAATTGATTATTGATATAATGAAAGCACTTACCGTGAGAATCACTTGTAAGAACTAGGAACTAATTCAATAATTAAGCCGCTGTCGGAGTGGGCTGAGGCCATGACTTGTGAGGCACCGGTGAGCAATCGGAGTAGACAGTGAATTTTAGATCTAGGTTTTCTGGTTTTGTGGTGTGAACTGAGGAAGTGAGGAGAGAGAGGTAGAGAGCGTTCTTTCAAAAAAAAAAGAGAGAACATTCTTTTTTTTTTTTTAATTATTTACTTGTATATGAAAACTGACAGATAATAGTTGTAGCATTTAATATTTTAACCAAAGAAACCGCCTATCTTAGAGAACAGGTCTCTTTTACTATTAACTTTTTTTTCCAAAATGGGGTACAGTTGTAACTCTATGTACCCTCCTGGATCCGCCATTGGGTGGATGAGCTTGAGTATTGGTTCTTATAATATAAGAAAGTTTGTTTTATGTATTTTGTGAATAAGGGCAAATTACAAGTTGAAAAAGTCGTCTATAGTTAAAAGAGGCGAGGACAATGCAATAAAGTGAAAAATTAAAAAAAGAAAAAACTGAGAAAAAGCAAAGCAAATTCAAATGCTTTGGCAAAAGTGAAAAAAATGTGAAAAATAAAAATTCCAAAAATATGTTGATATAAGTGTATTTCTCCCTATTTTGTGCATTGAATGCTTAATTTTAGCTTGCGGGGAAGTGTTCTTACGCTTTGTGTATATATGTTTGTGATTTTGGCTTTGAATAAGCTTGGGGGGCATTGGTGTTTTTGTTTGGTGATTGCTTGATTATGGTGTTAAGGATTGATCACCCTTTGCTTCACAATTTAGGTATACCACCAAATTTCAAATTTTAACCTACCTTCACCCTTTTTGCCCTTACATTACAACCCTTTTTAAGACCTTTTGACCTTTTTAGTTGAGTCACAAGTCGGTGGAGGGAGATGTAAGTCAAGCCTATGGAGCGGTGTGCATAGTCAAGATGTTGAGTAGCCCTAAAATCTCTTCATTTTCAGTTCCTTTGAGGAAGAATTGAGATGCTCACTAGAGGTGGATTTGAAACTAGTTGGGAGAACGTGGTAAGATTGTTTGAGATTAAGGTGAATTGTGTCTCATTAGTTCTCTATGCTTAGCATATCTTATATTTCAATCAACCTTGGATATCTTGAAATGTTCACTCCCTTATTTGTTTACAAATAATTGCATTCATTTCTGCTTGTTGTAGCTAGTTCATTTGCAAAATTCCATTCATGGACATTTGTTTTCTTTTCTTTTATTTTATTTTCTTTTTGCCTTGTTTGTTTGGTTTGAGAGAGTTGTGGGTTAACCTCTTAGGACACCCTCACGAGACCTTACTCGTCCTTGTTGGCGACTTTGGGGTTTTAAGGGCTTGTTGTAACTAAAATCAACCGTGATTCCCACGAAAGTGAGTTAGTGTATATTTTTATCTCCTCTCTTTTTCTTTTGTTTGTTTGAATAAGCTCATCATTTTTTCCCTTACTTGTTTTGGTTTTGCTCGAGGACGAGCAAAAGTTAAGCTTAAGGTTATTTGATGAGTACCATTTATTGAACTCATTTGATGAGTATTTAGGTTGTTTTAACCTTCTTTTCATAGCTTTCTTTCTTAATAAATGCTTAGTTTTATGCATTTTCTTCTTAGTTTCCCTTTCTCTCTTATTTTGTGTTTTTATGGTTATTCTAGTGTTTTCTCCTTTATTTCTCCACTTTTTGTGGTTGTAGGTATTGTACGAGTTTTGGATCTTGATATGGGTGGTTTTATAAGTTAGAATATGTTTTTGGAGTAAGCTCATAGCAATAGGAAAGCTTAAGATGCAAGAAAGTGGATGCTCCAAGTTCTAACTCTTGCTCTCTCAAGTCGTGCTCTCATGAAAGATGGTGTTGAACTCACCGTGGAGGCCTTGGAAACTGCCTCCCCCAATGTTTATCAAGTGGAGCACAGAAAGACCCATTTGCGAACACATGAGGCTATGGAGAAGTCAAAGAAACCCGAAACAGCGCGGGCGCGTAGTAGGGATAGAAATGGATCGGGTGGAGCTCCACTCATATCCATCACCCGCATCCATCCGTTTTACCCAATCCATCCATCACCCGCATAATACATAACCCGAAATCCATCCACCACCATCCGCGGGTAGGTGAATAAAATTAATTTTAGATAAAAAAAACTTGAGAAAACTTTTTTGACCCTTTAATATTAAAATAATTATCGTAAAATAATTGTGATATGGCAAACATTAACATAAAAAATAAAAATATAATTGTACCATATAACTTCTAATATGCAAATATTATATATATATAAGATATTTGTATTTATTTTTTAAAAATAAGAATGTTTATATTACTAAACGGATGGATGGATGGGTGACGGATGGGATTAACCACCACCCGAATCCAACCCGATCCATCACCCGATTCACTCGTTACCCGCCTCTCATCCATATAAACCGGGGTTTTCACCCGTTTAATAAAGCGGATGGACCGGGTGGTCGGATCATCCGTTGGATATTTCCATCCTTAGCGCGTAGCCCTCAGGCGCGAGCAAGCACAGCCCTTGCACGGGCGCGCACCCCTGCCTGCGCAGTCGCTCCTCCCTGGGTTTCGGTTTATCTCGTCTTCTAATTTCGGCAACCTATAAATACCTTTTGACAATCGATTTTTGTAGGAAGTTTTTAGACATAATTTTGATCATAATTTAAGCTTATTTTTGAGTTTCTCTCTCTTGGTTTAGGCCTTTTTTAGGAGCAGATTTAGAGAGAGAAAGTGAGAGATTTCAATGACGATTTGAGAGATTGATGATATAAGGTTGACAATTGTGTTGAAGATCTTCTTTATTAACAATGAGCGTTTCTAACTCTATCTCATCTTATTGTTTTGTTTAGATTCATATTTGTTTGATTTTATTTTGATGTTTGATCTTGATTAGTGTAATTGTTCTTGATAATTTTATTAATTCTTGATTTCTTAGTTGTTTGTTATTAGATGATGATTCCTTAGTAGTTGTTTGGCTATGGATTATTGGGTGAAACTTGTATGATTGATTGATTGTGATTAATTTGGGGATTGTGTTGATTGATTGTTGAGAATAAATGATTAATGTAAGTTTCCATGTGTGTAATTCGATTAGGCCTTCAGAATTATGCTAAATTGCATTGTAATTGCTAATGACACGAACAATTGATTTAGGAATTGCAATTATCGATTGGTCTAGATTGTGATTCTCCTAGTTTGTTATTCCTAGAGACCATTAGCTTAACGATTAGGAGATAGCTCTTTGATTCCAATTGATAGCTCTTATCATTAGTCTTTACTGCCATTGACTGGCATGTTCTTCCTAAGTTGTTCCAATTGTCATGATTACTTGTTGATCCCCATTCCCTAGCGTTTTATTTGTTTGGTTGTTTGTTTTTTTAGATGTTAGTGTTCCCTTTTCACCTTCGACTTTGACCTAGCTTAGGCGCACATTGAAAGCTCTTAAACATAACCGTTCCTTTGGGTTCGACCCTTCACTTACCTCTATACTTGTATTTAGGTTTGTTAGGTGTTCACAAATTTTGTTTGGCTTATGGAAGATTAGTCAACGATCTAGTTTTTCCCCTCGTCAAAAGGACACACCAAAAGATGACATGCGTAAATAGTGGTGTATCTTTTAGTATATAGTTATTGATTTTGTGAATGTTTGTATTGTGGGGATCGTAGATATTTAAGTTTCAGCTGTCTATTTGTAAATTAAGTAGTATACCCAAGAATTTGGATGTTACTCTCGTTTTTATTACCAGTCTCATGATTATTTTCGTGTGGTATATGTGATGTGAGGGGTTTCTAGTAATTAAGAATTTTTTTCTATATGTGTGTAGAAACCTAAAAATGTCTCCCCGAAACTAAACCCGATGATGAACAACCTTTCACCGCCATTATTGGTCGGGTTGAGTATTTAATCTTGGAGTGCTTAAATCCATATTTCCATTTCTTAAATCAACCCAATTCCTAGCCCATTTCCCCAAACCTTCACTTATTTTCCTCTTTTCGTGCCTTTAAACCCAAAATAATTCATTTCGTGTCTTTTAAAATCTTCATTTCGTGTCCCTTTTGTAGAAACGTTTTTTCCAGTTTATTTTGGTCCATAATCTGGGTCCAGTGATTGAATAGTTAGATGGGGCTTGAAAACAGCTTTCCAACGATATATTATAAGCCCAAATCCGAGTTATAATGAATAAGTTATGACCAAAATACTAAACTGAGTTCAAACCTAACCTAAGCCCACCTTACCTACGACCCAATGATCATGTGGAGTGTCCAAATGATTTAATCTCATTCCTAAAACAATTAGGATTAATTGGAAGCTTCTATAAGTTTCTAAAATATATTAATTATCCTTTTTGAAAAGATAAGATTAAAGAGTTTGAAATTGAATAAAACTTCTTTTTTTGAAAATTCTAATTCTATTCGAATTGAAAGACGTTCAAAGATAGAAAGATATTTTTTTAGTGCCTCATATTTTTTATCCAAATATTATATGGTTGGATAGCCCTTGAAATTACCTTTCCAATGATATATTATAATATCAATTCCGAGCTATAACGAAAAAGATATGATTGAAATATCAAACTCTATCCAAAACTGAAAGCGTCTCACTATTTCGACCATATCTTTATTCTACAAAATATTTTAATCTGATTCTAATTGGATTAAAAATTATACTTCAAGAGCTTTCCAACAATATCTTATTTATCTTATTCCAATATCTGGATCAAAATATATGACAAAAACAAAAACCGCAAAAACTGCAGTCTATCGAGTTTTATTCCAATTTAATTCGGATCTTATCTTGATTCTTCGACCCTTCGTTTTTCATTATAAATAGAGGTCATATCACCCCTTTTTCAATCAACAACAAGATTGATCATCAAATCCTTCTCTCTTTCTCTTTTATACCAAAAATCATTCTCTTCTCTCTCTCTCTCTCTCTCTCTCATATTTTAAGCCTTAAACTTATATTCTTAATTACACCATTTTTCTCTTAAGCACTCCAAGGATTCCATACATAACCCGAGGTTCCGTCCTTAAACCAAGGCGTGAAAGGTATAATTAACTGAGAGTTTGGACCAAATCAACTCTACATTTATTTAATTTAATTTAATTTCCATTTGATTTATATTTTTTATTGAAGTTACTAACAATTTATTCATGATGTAGTAATTTAAAGGAACGCGCGGAATGTGATTAATTAATTAATTTAATTACTAATATTATTTTAATATTGCTAGTATCATGATTAGGTTATTTTATATTTAATTCTACTAACAATTTATTGTTAAATTGCTTCCAATATTAATGTTTATTCTATTATTATTTATGATCACCATATTGCATGTTTAAAGGAAATATTTAATTGAAAATCACGCCTAGATAATTTGGGCGACCGGTTTAGGTTCCTTCGTAATCTTGTTATTAATTCAAGTGATCACAGATATTTTCGAATAATGTGTTGCATTAATATTCAACCAATTTAGCATAATAATAGTTTGGAGGGAATTGAATATTTTGTTTGTATGCCTTTGAGATCGCAGGAATCACTTTTCATCATAAGAATCGAGTAGAGGCCAATACGGGCGAAATGTGACTCCATGACTCACTTCGTACCATCATCCCCGATCCTCCTTTCGTGGTTCCGAACCATATGGAGTTAGTAATCTCATGGATTATGAATGGGGTGTAGCCTTCACAGGTCAATCGTTGTTGTCTATCGTTATCCCTTTATTCGTGGTT